TGATGGTTTCCCACAAGAACTCAGTTCCGTCCCCTTATCTGCTGCTTTGACAGCCCCGCATGGGCAGCACCACTGCAGTTATGATAATTCTCCAAATAGACACATTTCTGCACATTCACCCAGGATTTTTAAGTAGATTTTCTGATTTTTCTTCATAGATGAATATGTCACCTGCAGGTAGGGACACCTTGTGTGCTGGCTCACATTTGAATGTCTCTATGCAGAGAAAGAGCAGGAGCCTTCCCTGGAGGCAGCTGAGAGCTTGAGAGGAAATCCCTGTGCCCAACAGGAAGGCCCTTCCCTCCCCACCTCCCTCTGCCCTTGCTCCAGGGGCTGCTCTCTGTGCTATGGGTCCTGAGGGCCGCTTGGTGTCCGGAGCGCCCCCTGCAGCCCAGCCCTGTTGTTTCCTCAGGGAGTTTGTGTCTGGGCTCACACTGACTTCCCCTCGCTGTGTCTCTTGAACAGTAATACATGGCCGGGTCCTTGGCTCTCAGGCTGTTCAGTGTTAAGTAAATTTGGCTCTTTTACGTGTCCCTGCTGATGCTGTCTTGGGATTTCAGTGTTGGGTTGTAGGATGTACTTCCACTAGCCCACATGACTCCCACTTTGGAGGGTCCAGAGTACACCATAGCTCCTTAGAAAGAATCCAGAGATGATGCAGGTGAGGGAGAGGGTCTGCGAGGGCTTCACCAGTCCTGGGCCCTACTCCTGCAGCTGCACCTGGGACAGGACACCTGGGACAGAGAGAACACAGTGAGTCCTGGGCTCAGATGCAGTGTCCCCATCTCCTCACGTTTAAGCTGGGAGTCACTCACATGTGGGAGCTGACAGTAGGAAGAGGAAGAGCCACATGGGAGTCATGTCTTGCAGGTGAGGTCCTCGTCCCCCATAAAGTATTCTCCAGGTTGAGGAGGCCCTACATTTAAGTGGACACCAATTGTGTGTGTGTCTGGTGGCCATGTGGGCATTTGCATATGGGCGGTGTCTGCACATACAAAGGGCAAGAGGTGATGTAGGTCCTGGTCTCTGGGGCTTCTCCTGGAAGGTGTTGCTGACTGTGCCCTCTGAAAACCAGGCCCTTCTTGGGGTCCTGGTCACCATGCTCAGGGACCTCTTCTTCCACAGCAGGGGCTATGCTGCAGGAGGGGGTCAGGAAGTAGGATGTGGGAATAATCAGTCACTCCTTAGGGATAAAATACCAGCCTCTGTTCTCATGGATATAGATAGATATAGATGATATAGATATAGATATAGATATAGATATAGATATAGATATAGATATAGATGATATAGATATAGATATAGATATAGATATAGATAGATATTGATTTAGATATTGTTTTAGATATATGTATCGGTTAACTATAGATGTATTTGTAGATATAGATATAGGTATAGATATAGAGATTGTTTACTTTAGCCTTACTTGAGGATATTTTCATTGATTTTTAGAGAAATGGATAGGAGAGAGCAAAAGAGAAAGAGAGAGAGAGAGGGAGAGGTAAGATAGAAATATTGAACTGGGAAAGGCAGTGAGAAAGAGAGAAACATTGATGGCGGGGAACATATTTATCATTTGCCTCCCATATCTGCCAAGACATGGAATGAAACCCACAACCTTGTTATTTATTTGTTTTAATATATATTTTATACAGTTCAGAGAGGAAGGGAGAGGGAGAGACAGATGGAAACATTAATGATGAAAGAGAATCATTGATCGGCTGCCTCCTGTATGGTCACGACTGTGAATCAAGCCCACAACCCATGTATGTGCCCTGACCAGGAATGGAATCATAGGTCAAATCTCAACCACTTGCCACACAAGCATGGCTTCTTTCATTTTTGAAATATATTTTTAGTTAAATTCAACCCTGATGGTTACTCAATTTTCCTTCAGCACTTAAAGTCCTTATTTGTTGAAGGAGGTTCATGTTCAAGAGACCAGAAGTCCCATCTGACACGGTTTCCCTTACAAAGTGATCAGAGGATAAACTAAGACCAGAGCGTGAGCCTAGAATCAGTGGACCAAGTGTTGGGGAGAGTGGGAGTGTCTGTGAGGGTCCCTGGGAACCAGAAGCATGAACTAGAGAGACACAGACAGAGCTCCCGGGTCCTATTCCTTCAGGGCAGTTTTGTGCTGGATGTGTAGCAGCTGCATGTCCTCCTTTATTGTGTTTATTCTCTAGACTCTATTGTGGGTCCAGTTTCATGCTTTGGGACATAGAAGAATCTCAGTCATGATCAGGTATGTGTGGGAGGATGTTGGAAATGATTTAGGAATAATTAAGTTTAGGTTATGAAAATCTTGTTATTGTGACCACTGTCCCCACATGATGGGGTCAACTGGAACCTGCACCTGACCCGGTGCCACACTGGGGGGAGAGCTACCTGGGAACGTGGTGGGAGATTAACCAAGACCGAGGACACACATGCCCAGGGTTTCTCTCTGTAGCATGATGTCACTTGTTGGCTTTTCAAACACGGCCTTTAGTATATTGAGGTCCATCGCTTCTACACCTATTCTGATAAGAATTTAATTCTGAAGCAATTTTCAATTTTAAAGCCTTCATACTGTATGTATTTATACAACCGTATACTTTATCCTTCATTCTGTGGATGAGATGTAACACAGTTACTTGTTTACATATGTTGAACCATCCTTGCATGCTTTGACGGTTTCCCACTTGATCTTGGTAAATGATCCTTTCAGTGTGCAGGTTAGTTTCCTGGCATTTTTTTGAGGGATTTTGCATGTAATTTCCTCAGGGAAATTGATCTGTCATTTTTGTATGTTTCTACTTGAGTTTGATATGAGTGTAATGGTCACCTCAAGAAATCTGTTGGAAGTGTTGTCTCTTTCCTTAATTCTTGGAAGACTTCAAGAAGAGTTGATTAGAAAGTTATCAATTCCTATTTGAAATTTTGGTAGAATTCACCCTTGAGTCCATTTGTTCCTTGGCTTTAATTTGGTGGAAGGTTTTCACTATTAATTCAATTATATTTTAAAATTTGTAGCAATGTAGCAAAGTTTGGATTAAATTCCTAATTTGAACTCCTACTAAGTGGACTGAGAAATACAACTGTTGATCTTCACAGGTGTGGTCAGTGTTGAAATGATAGTTTCTTGCAGACCACATATTTATTTCATATGGCATGCAAGAAAACACAATCTATCCCCATTTTTTGTTTTAAAAATATTATAAAGAAATATTTCTTTATTGATTTCAGAGAGGAAGGGAGAGGGCGGGAGAGATAGAAACATCATTGATGAGAGAGAATTATTGTTTGGCTCACCCACTGGGGTATGTACCATTGACCAGAATCAAACCCAGCATCCTTCATTCTGCAGGCCGACACTTTATCCACTGAGCCAAATCATCTAGGGATAACCTCATTTTCTAATATAGAATTCATAAAATACAGAGTATAAGGACATGAACAGTTTTGTATTACTGCTCATGAGTGAATGCATGTCTTTTCTAGAAACGAGTGTGTGACTGTGTGTGTGTGCGTGTGACTATGTGTGTGACTGTGTTTGTAACTCTATGTGTCTGTGTGTCTTATTGTTTGTGACTGTGTGTGACTGTGTATGTGACTGTTTATGTGTGTGTGTGACTGCGTGTGTGTGTGACTATGTGTCTGTGTGACTCTGTGTTTCTTGGGTAAGTAGTGAGAGGACGGTATGGATGCAGGGTGTCCCATGGATGCTCCTCGGCTTCCAACATGCTACCGATGCACATCTCACCCAGAATGAAGCTAGAAAACCTTGGCTCCAGGAGGGAAGCTGGAGGAGGAGTTCGATGATGCACATCCCAGCTTCAGGTTCACCTTTCCCCGCTGTGGGGTTAGCACTGCTTCCTGATGGACAGCAGGGCCCCTACTGTGGGTGGATGTGGGGCTCCCTGTGTTTGGTGCACTGAGTTGACAGATCTTCTGGGGATCAATGTGGATCCAGAGAGGATGGGTGAGATCCACCAGCCCTGAGTGAGCTCAGGCCTTTCAGCAGAGAGAGGACTCTGAGATCTCCCTGAAACCAGGAGGGGGAAGGGCACATGGAAAGTCAGACACTGAGGGACTGAGGGATCTGTGACGCCCAGGGAGGGAGGCAGAGCTGTGCACACAGCCCAATCCCAGCAACCCATCCGTGGAGCTCACACTCATCATCGAAGCATTGAAAAGACAGTGAAAAAGCCGCTTTTAGAATTTGTGAGGGAGCCTTCATGAAGGAGATTCCCGTCACTGTCACCTGCAAACACAATGACCCTTCTTCACTGTTTTCTGCAGTGAGAACATGAGAAGGAAGAGCCCTCACAGGCAGCAGATGAGAGCTTTAGAGGAAATCCCTGTGCCCAACAGGAAGGCCTTTACCTCCCTCTGCCTCAGCTCTTGGTGCTGCGGGTCCTGAGCGCCCCCTTGCAGCCCAGCCCTGCTGTCTCCCTCAGGAGATTTGTGTCTGGGCTCACACTGACTTCCCCACACTGTGTCTCTCGCACAGTAATACATGGCCGTGTCCTCGGTGGTCAAGGAACTCAGCTGCAGGGAGAACTGGTTCCTGGCTGTGTCAGCAGTGATAGAGATGCGGCCCTGGAAGGCTGGGTTGTAGATTGTACCCCCTCTCCAGTGCCCCATCCACTGCAACCTTTCCCCTGGGGACTGGCGGATCCAGCTCCAGTAGTCACTGGTGGTGACTGAGCCCCCGGACACAGTGCAGGTGAGGGAGAGGGTCTGCGAGGGCTTCACCAGGCCTGGGCCCAACTCCTGCAGCTGCACCTGGGACAGGACACCTGGGACAGATAGAACACCAGGACACCTGGGACAGAGAGAACACAGTGAGTCGTGGGCTCAGATGCAGGGTCCCCATCTCCTCATGTCTAAGCCCTGAGTCACTCACATCTGGGAGCTGACAGTAGGAAGAGGAAGAGCCACATGGGAGTCATGTCTTGCAGGTGAGGTCCTTGTCCCCGAGAAAGTATTCTCGAGGGTGAGGAGGCCCTGAATTTAAGTGGATGCCAACTGTGTGTGTATCTGGTGGCCGTGTGGACATTTGCATATGGGAGGTGTTTGCACATACAAAGGGCAAGAGGTGAGGGAGGTCCTGGTCTCTGGGGCTTCTCCTGGAAGGAGGTGCTGACTGTGCCCTCAGAGAACCAGGCCCTTTTTGGAGTTCTGGTTACCGTGCCCAGGGACCTCTCCTTCCTCACCAGGAGCTATGCTGCAGGAGGTGGCCAGGAAGTAGGATTTGGGTCCAATCAGTTAATGCTTAGGGATAAAATCAATGAGGCTCTGCTCCCATGGGTATAGATAGATAGATAGAGATAGAGATAGAGATGGCATAGATATAGATTATACATAAGATATAAATGTAAATATAGTTATATATATCGATATAGATAGATCATGGTGCCCCCCATCAATTGCCCCACAGAGGATGGCCTGGGCCTCCCTCTGTGGGATGACCATGGGGCGATGTCTGAGCCCCCGATCATTGCATCACACCAGCATTGGTGGGCCTGGTGCCAGTTCATGTCATAGAGTGGTTGTCCGGAAGGTCGTCTGAATGGTTGTTCTGATGTTTGGTCGTTTGGTCAGTTTACATATTATGCTTTTATTATTATAGACTAGAGTCCCGGTGCACAAAAATTTGTGCACTCGGGGGGAGAGGGGGATCCCTCATCCCGGCTTGTGCTCTCTCGCTGTCTGGGACCCCTCAGGAGATAATGACCTGCTGTCTTAGGCCTGCTCCCAGTGGCAGAGGGCAGGCCCAATCCCTAGGTGCAGTCCCTGGTCAGGCTCAGAGCAGGGCCGATTGGGGAATTGGGGCGACACCCCCT